ATGCAGCAGCTAGAGTCCTTACCAGGTCAAGAAAATATGATCATATTACCCCAATTTTACATTCTCTGCACTGGCTACCTATTAAGTTCCATATCAGTTACAAAATATCACTGCTTACTTTTAAGGCCCTAAATGGTTTAGCTCCTGCGTACCTAACTAGTCTTCCATTATGCTACAATCCATACCGCTCCCTAAGGTCACAAAACTCTGGACTCTTGGTAGTTCCTAGGATAGCAAACTCCACTAAAGGAGGTAGAGCTTTTTCACATTTGGCTCCCAAACTCTGGAACAGCCTTCCTGATAAGGTTTGGGGTTCAGACATACTCTCTCTGTTTAAATCTAGATTTAAGACACATCTCTTTAGCCAAGCATTCACATAATGTATCTCATAACCTTGTACTTTAGTCACATCTGATCAAATGCACATTTACATTCTTTTGCTTGGGTTGAACACATAATTTTTTTGCTTAGTTGGAACAGCAGCTACGCTAATTTTTCTCTATTACCTTCCCTGTTTCTGCCATTGGCATCCCATGGTGACTAGGAATTACACAAGCTTCAGTCTGGATCCAGCCCTTACAAAGACCTGAGATGACCGAACACCTGAGAAGAGATGATGCCAACCCCCCAGAGGACCTCAGATGATGCCAACCCTCAGACAACATACAAAGCTACCAAATGTTGTACAATGGACATCAACTTGAGATAGTCACCAAAGATAAGCTATTACTAAATATAATGAAGAATCTTTAATTTTCTGTAAAGCTGCTTTGCAACGATTTGCTTCATGAAAAGCGCTATACAAATAAACTTGAATTGAATTGAATTATGAGCACAACTGTGTATGTGTATGTATGTATGCATATATATATATATACACACACACACATGTATACACACACACAGACAGGTCATATGGACCTATTCAGTACGGTTATGGTACTGTACTATTATCTTTTTGTCAGTTTTGAAGCTGACAAAAATCTCATTTGTATTCTACACAAACACACACACACACACACACACACACACACACAAACACACAAACCTTTCAAGCAACATTAGGATGAAAAGAGCAAATAGCCTAATCATTTAAAAATCATATTAAAAGGCATCTGGTAAATTGATAAATGTATACTGTATGTCAATGTTTAATGTCACTTTGACACCAGAACTTCTGTGGAAAGAGCACTTTTACTTTTTACCAAGTATTGTGGGTTCTTTTAATTCTGCCCTCACAACATGAAAAAGGCCTACAGACTAGAGTCCTGCACAGTTCCTGTTTGCTAAACTCGTACCCGTAATACTCAACAGAACATCCAACACGTTATCTGCCAGCAGCACTAATTTAATTCCGTACCTGACCTGACTTGAACCACACCAGCATCTCCTACATTAGGCAGGCAAAAATTATTTATTTTTGCATGTAACACACAAAATCAAACCAACATTAGGCATTCTAAGTTGATGCATTGAAGAAAAATAGACACACGGCGCAACATGATAATTACAGGGTTAGTTCACCCAAAAATTTTTCCTTTTTACTCACCCTCAAGGCATCCTAGGAGTGTATGACTTTCTTCTTTCAGACGAATCAAATCTGAGTTATATTAAAAATTATGCTGCTCTTTCAAGCTTTATAATGGCATGGGCGGGTGTTTTTGTTTAACAGTCCAAAAGTAGTGAAATAATGCGCATCCATCCATATTAAAACGCGCATCACACGGCTCCGGGGGGTGAATAAAAGCCTCCTGTAGTGAATCGATGCGTTTTTGTAAGACAAATATCCATATTTAAAATGATATAAACAGTAAACACTAGGGATGCACCGATATGAAAATTTTGGCCGATACCGATAACCGATTATTCTTTATTTTTGAAAGCCGATAACCGATATGTTGGCCGATAAATCTATATCCAAATTGTTATATACTTTTTGAGAGCCTGATTACAAAAAAGGTCTCATCATTAAAAGCCACATCCCAAACACTTCAACATAAGCAGCCTAGTTTGAACGGTGTACGTTTTAAAAATATTTTTACTCTCCCATTACCAAATTTAGTCATAAAAAAGCCTTACAAATAAATAAAATTATGCATAAATAATGCAAACAAGTCACTGGACATCATTACACATGTAAAGAATCAAAATGAATGCGCCACAGATCAATAAAACAGAATAGCCTCTGCACGGACAATAATTAAATGATTTTAATTACTAAACCATATTGTTGATGAAAATAATATATATATATATACACACACACACATGTATACACACACACAGACAGGTCATATGGACCTATTCAGTACGGTTATGGTACTGTACTATTATCTTTTTGTCAGTTTTGAAGCTGACAAAAATCTCATTTGTATTCTACACAAACACACACACACACACACACACACACACACACAAACACACAAACCTTTCAAGCAACATTAGGATGAAAAGAGCAAATAGCCTAATCATTTAAAAATCATATTAAAAGGCATCTGGTAAATTGATAAATGTATACTGTATGTCAATGTTTAATGTCACTTTGACACCAGAACTTCTGTGGAAAGAGCACTTTTACTTTTTACCAAGTATTGTGGGTTCTTTTAATTCTGCCCTCACAACATGAAAAAGGCCTACAGACTAGAGTCCTGCACAGTTCCTGTTTGCTAAACTCGTACCTGTAATACTCAACAGAACATCCAACACGTTATCTGCCAGCAGCACTAATTTAATTCCGTACCTGACCTGACTTGAACCACACCAGCATCTCCTACATTAGGCAGGCAAAAATTATTTATTTTTGCATGTAACACACAAAATCAAACCAACATTAGGCATTCTAAGTTGATGCATTGAAGAAAAATAGACACACGGCGCAACATGATAATTACAGGGTTAGTTCACCCAAAAATTTTTCCTTTTTACTCACCCTCAAGGCATCCTAGGAGTGTATGACTTTCTTCTTTCAGACGAATCAAATCTGAGTTATATTAAAAATTATGCTGCTCTTTCAAGCTTTATAATGGCATGGGCGGGTGTTTTTGAGATAAATCAGATATACATCAAATAAACACAATATTACAATGTACAATTGCACAAAAGGCTGCAAACGAACAGCGCGCATCTGAAGTGTCTCTGAAGGAAATAATGCATTATTTATCGGCTTTAAGATATCGGCCAAATTTTCTTATCAGGCCGATACCGATAACAGAAAAAATGAGCCGATATGGGCCGATACCGATATGGTGGCCGATATATCATGCATCCCTAGTAAACACCTTTTTCTCACTTCTGCTAACTGTCGTAGGCGGAAGCCATTCCGGTGGATGACGTAGGACGTATGCGTAGCTTAAGCGCTGGTGATTAGTGACGAATGCAGAAGCGCGACAGAGAGAGAACAAAACAAAATGCCGGTCATGAATTAGAAGCACAAAGCGACGATTTGTAAAGAAAAATGTCAGAGGTTTTCGATATAAGCCAAGAGGAGACTCGTTTTCCTTTGGTAAAGTAAGGAAACTTTGCTTCCTTTGCTCCTGTAAACAAATGCTGGTTTTCACGAGACTCACATGCGCATGCACTATGCCTACGTCATCCGCCGGAACGGCAGTGTCTCGTGAACAGTTAGCGAAAGTTACACAAAACAGTTTTTAATCGTTTTAAATATGGATTTTTTTTTTTACAAAAACGTATCGATTCGCTACAGGAGGCCTTTATTTACCCCCCGGAGCCGTGTGATGTGATTTTAATATGGATGGATGCGCTTTATTTCACTACTTTTGGACTGTTGAACAAAAACACTTTGAAAGCTTTGCCATTATAAAGCTTGGAAGAGCAAGGACTTAAAGTCAGAGTTATATAAAAAAGATTTTATATAACTCTGATTGGATTCGTCTGTAAGAAGAAAGTCTATATACACCACCTAGGATGCCTTGAGGGTAAGTAAAACATGGACTAATTTTCATTTTTGGATGAAATAACCCTTTAACAGAGAAAAAAATTATGAAAATGTGCATCCGTCGTTTAAACAATACAAACATTTGCCTACATCATGTGAACAATCTCTCCTGAAACTGTAGTGTATGTGTGCCCACTGGTCCTCTTAGCACTAGCAGCATGAAAAATAAAACTTTTTTCTTAAATTTTAGATAGATTATATAAAGAAAGCGAGCAAGGAGGGTAATCCCTTTATAATCAAGCTGTCATTCACTTCAGTTCCAGCACGATTGGCTATGTAACAACGCTCAATGCTACAAATTGCGTTGTAGATAGAAACCTCTTTAAACTTCAGACTACAGAGCCTAAATCATAAATAAGCACGGGCCAGTTTGAAAGTTAAGGAGAAGAACCTTGGTGTGCAGGGTGAAACAGACTTATATTTACTCTTTCAGATGCATGCAACTACCATGAATAGGAATATTAATGGATACATCTCTAGCACAACTACCTGGTGCTAGAAGAGGCGCAAAACTGGATTTATGATAGTGGTGACGAGGAACAATTAGTCGGAGCACTGTTATTATGCCACTCCTCATGGCCACATACTTCAGTTATGAGTGTGGATGTGCTCACAGATAGTGGTTCTTTATAAAGAGCATCAAACCATCATTCACTTTTCAGCACTTTGTTAAGCCCAGTTATCAAAAACATACTGCCAACACCATTGTTGCCAGCAGTCCTGCCTCTTAAACAGGAAGTGGCTATGATGATAACCTGCTATGAGCTCGAGAGCTCTGGACTAAAGCCCTAAGATAAATGGGCTGCCTTCCTGTCACTGATGCGCCTGCCAAAGCCACAAAGCTGGATCCAATCCCTGAACCCTATACACATTACATAGTAAGGTGCTTGGATGGGAAAAAAATATGCAAACCACTTTTGAGAGCCAAAGAACCTTTTGTTTATTCCATCATCATTTAGGCTTTGTAGATCTCTGTGGTCCTGTGATGTCTAATACTACAGGAACGAATGGGTCATGGTTTATAATGGATTCCTCTATTATAAAGGTCAGTCAAGCTGTGGTTTGGCAAAACGACTGCTAGTCTGGAGTTCCAGACCCTACTAGACAGGGAGGGATAGTTTTAGATCGATAATATCGTTTATTGTATCATCACAGAAAATATGAATATAATAAAAATAAATAAACATGTATAATTATAAATAAATAATAATAAATAAATACATTTTATATTAAAAAACTAAACACATAAGAAATATGTTTCTATAGGCCTATTTATCTTATGAAAAAAATCTAACAACATATTAAATATAAATGTTAATAATAATTTATTATTATGGTTGTTATTTTTATTTCATTTTATATATTTGTTTTCCAGTGCTGCTCCCCTCAGCAGTTAATTGTAACTGGTCACTTTGGGCATTTATAATTCAGCAACATCGATTGGATCAAAGCAAACTGGAGAGAAAATTGAGACTTTCTATAATTCTCCAGCTTAAGACGTTTCTCAAGAGCAACAGGCCCTCATGGGTCGTTTTCTATTGTTTCAGAAGAAATCCTGACAATGTCTCAAACTATGCTCAGATTCACCAAGATACCAAACTCTGGTTAAAGATCTCAATATGAACTCAAACATTTCTCAAATACTTTCAAGATTAAATTATCTCAGCTATCCTGTAATTTTCATCTGGGAATTCAACACCCCAGACCATATCACAAACAATTGTCCATTTAGCAATTGTTTTGTTTTACAATCAGCTATTTTTCTGGTGAGGCAGAGTATTATGAAATTAGGAATCAGAGTGTGAGAAACTTACCTCGTAGTGTGTGTTTGTTGGGCCATTGAAACCACGGTAATAGCAGCAGGTACAGAAGGTAGACTAAAGAGAGAGCGTTGTAGCGAAATATGCAGGCTGTGGAGAATAACAGAAACAAAAAGATCAGTTTGCACAGTCATATTAGACAGTCAACATTGCATTACATAAAGTAGGATTTAGCATGGTGATCACACTAGTCTTTAAGTAAACAAAATCTTTATTTGGCCCCTGCAATCATCATGAAATGACATGATGCTCTGTCATCTTTTATTATAAATTCAACATATAAAAAAACAATAATCCCAAAATGTAAAAGTATGCAATGTACTCCACTTTTCTGCAACACTGAAAACCTCTTAGCTTTAAAGTTTGTATTCGTTTAATTCAGGTAAGAGGTCACGCCATGGCATGTCAATCTTTTATTGGTCACTCATCTTCATGTGATACAAATTCATACTGTAGGTCACAGTTCACTAATCTTAAACTTTGGAGAACTGCAAAATGCAAAACGTCTTCAGATGAGTTTGCGTTTCTGGTCTCCAGAATTTGCATGCGTATCAGTGGAAGTCAATGGAACGAAAAGTCAAGTGTGACACCTCTTTAGGCTGGTTTAAGCGGCGTGTTTTTTTTTTGTATGGTTATCAGCTGAAGTTGATTAGTGCTGTCAAACGATTAATCGTGATTAATCGCATCCAAAATAAAAATAAAATTTTTCTTAAATATAAACATGCATGTGTTTGTATTTATTTATACATAATAAATATACACAGTACTCGGGCTGTGCGATTAATCGAAATCGTCATAAAATCGCGATTTGAGCTTGTGCGATTTCTAAATCGCTTTATAGCGCGATTTTCCACGCCCCCGACCTCCCGCAGTATGCTATCCGAACCAATCAGAATGCAGCATGCCTAAATGGAGCACAAGAACAGAACAGACCGGGCGGACATACAAACGTAACGCCAAGTTCACACATGTTAATGGATCAGAGTGTTCACACTGCACGCGATTGCAGTCTGGCAGTGTGCTCCAGGAGTGGTGCATCTGCAGCAGTCATTTTCTGCTGTGCTATACGCGCTGAATTAAAGTGACAGCGCATTATTCGCGGTAAAAATTTACATGATTGACACGGAAATTTAGTAATTACACCATAAATGCATATAAATAAAGTCTACTGTTTCACAGTTAACACATGGCTTTTTGGCTAGATTTAAAACAAGGAAAAGTGCACTTTTAGATAAACAAGGCAATAATAAATGGCACTCATGGTGGTAGTTAAATAAAGTTATATTTACTGAGTTTAAACGTGAATATGTCTATGAAAGATTGTATTACTGTACTGTGATAAAAGAGAATCACAATGCTGAAAAAGCATTTTCAGAAACAACGTTTGGATTTGAAATCAAAATAATGGATAAATGTTGTGTTTGTGGTAAACAGCCGCGGATCAGGAGCGGACTGCAAACGCGTCCAGTGCGAAAGCAAAATGAGTCCGTGCTGCTTCTGCACCGCATACACATACTGTATACGCACTGCAGACGGAGTACGTGTGAACTTGGCGCAACAAATCTAGTTCAACATCTGAGGCAACGCCACAAAGAGCTTTTTTTCTGCCATATATGTCTATTCTAGAGACATGTTACAGCTTCTTGATAAAGCTCCAATTGGTTTTCTTTTGGAAATATGCTTCAAATTCACACTGAATGCATTAATGACTGTAAAGCGTGTCTGTGTGTGTCAAAATCGTGATTAAAATCGAAATCGCAATATTGATCAAAGAAATCGCGATAGGTTTTTTTTCCATATTGCACAGCCCTACACAGTACACATACATATATTATGTAAACAAAAATCTTTTATTTTGGATGTGATTAATCATTTGACAGCACTAAAGTTGATCTGTTAAAGGGATAGTTCACCCAAAACTGAAAATTCTGTCATCATTTACTCACCCTTGGAACCTTGTTTCAAACCTCTAGTTTCTTTATTCTGTTGAACACAAATTAATTTTGAAGAATGTTGGTAATAAAACAGTTGCCAGTAGCCACTGACTTCCATAGTATTTTTTTCCATGCTATGGAGGTGAATGGCTACCAGCAAGTGTTTGGAACTTGAAGCTGAGTAAATGATGAAGATTTTCATTTTAGGGTAAACCATCCCTAATATCTTGGCCAACCTGATTTGGCCACTTTGGCCATGGTCTCACCAGCAACAAACCAGCTTGACCATCTTAAAGTGGCATGACCTGTTTTTTCAACTCTTTAGTAACTTTTTTTCTACAAATTTCAATGGCTGTAGACAGCAAACTGCTAAGAAAACCAGTTGTCCAAGATAAAAAACAACAGCGGCAAGGTCACCAGGTCACCTCACAAATTAGCATCTCTTACTTTCTGCTGGTTTTGGCAGAGTAGTCCAGTTCCAGATTTTTTACATTCTTTGAAGGTGACTATTCTCAAAATCACTGGAACAGGTGGCTAAGTTGGATGGTGTGAAAATGTACCCTCGGTAGTAGTACTCAAGTCTTTGATAATGCTGATGATGCCCTTTTGAACCTTTGTGATTGCTACAGTATAATCAAGCTGCTCTAATCAAGCTGAGAGGTTCATGTGCAAAGCATTCTGGGACTAGTTTCCAACCCTTTAAGGGTTTGCCAAGGCATACAGGAGTTCCCCCTGCCTCCTGCTGTGACTAGAAAAGGATACCTTTCCCTGACTCGCATTTTCCAAGCCATCCCAACAATACCTCAGATTCTCCAAAACACGTTTACTGTTCCTCAATCTCTGATTCACGCACATAACTGAAGGCTTTGTTTGAAAAGTCTGTCCCTGGCTGGTAGCCATAAAGTTTCACAGGCCTGAAGGCTACTTCGCTGTAACTACCATTACGACCCAGGAACAAAGACATACAGTGTTCAGTATTCAGGGGCAGCTCATACTGCCTCATGACCTCACCAGAAAAACAGTCTATTAATGCAGGGAAACTAAGATGGAAATCCTAGAGGTGAACACGCAATGATAGCCCTTGGTGATATCAGAGTGTTCATAAATGGGACAGATTTTGGGTAGGATCTAGTTTTGATAAAAGTTCACAGGAATAAGAAGCTGCAGAGTTACGGTTCTGTGATCAAAGCATGATGGAGTCACCTGAGGCTCATCTGTGTTTTCACTGAACCAGCAGCAACTGTGATCTAATAGAAACACAGCAGGGGCTGGTAAAACACTAATAATAAGTAAGCACTAGCGGCTTATAGCTTATTTTTCCAACTTCTCTGGTTTCACTAACCGCACCTTGCAGCAGAAGTGTGTCGATAGAAAGATACGACTTCCTATTAGGAATCAGTTATTACAACTTCCGAAGTAAATGTATTTACTTTTGAGACTAATTTAATATGTTTAACACTGTGAAATGCATTTAGTGTTCTGATACAGTAATACGTTTGGGAGATTTTCAAAGTTTCTTTTTTAGGTTAATTTTTTTTTTATCATTTTGAATAAATTGTTTCAGTGGTCAGACGGTGTCAAATGTTGTGTAAAAAAACAAAACCAAAAAAAAAAAACCTCCCATAGCTTCTCATTTTTAATATGAGGTCATGAAAACTGCAAGCACAATAATTATAATACAATTTTGCAATTTTTATTTTGGATGCGATTAACCACGATTAATCGTTTGACAGCACTAATTAATGCTACAAATATCTTTCAGTTATGTTGAGATGTCACAGCACAGGAATTTCTAAATGAACACAGTAGTAGTTCCACATGAACATTATAATTTGAAAAGAATGACTTTTTCCCCAAAAAGGCTTGAAAAAATGTTGTATTTACATTTGTGCATTTTTACATTTTTGCGGCAATATGTACTTTTATGATTAGTCTTTTTTTGGCCCAATGAAATACATTTATTGCATTTCTAGTGGTACTGTTAATTATACATTTCTGCATTCCAAAACTGTATTATGGTGAAACCCCACCCATAATTTTCTACTGCTTTTCTTTTGCATATTAGATGTGCAATTTCTCTCTTTCTCTCTCTCTCTCTGTTTGCATTTGGCTGCCACGACTTTCACCCGTTCACAGACTTAAAGTTTTTCCATTGCTTACTCTAATCTCCGATACACATTCATCCAGCTGTCACAGTAAAGGAAACTTCAATTTTCCACCTATTTAAATAAATTAAAGATGACAAGTGCAGACTAGCAGAGTTTCGAAAACAGAAATAAACAAAAACACAAACACTAATTTTATTTAAAAAATACAGCGTAAGAGTTTGTATCAACATGAGAGGGCCTCAGTAAACGTCCACGGGTCCACAAAATGATTATAAAACACAAAAAATCAAGATTTACAATATGTGAACTGACACCTCGTTCACGCACCTTAATTTGTCCCATCAACAATAGTTATTTTTACATACAGTTCTTAAAACATCTGAAATCTGTTCAATTAAAACAAAACACACAAACATGAGGGGCCTTTGAACGCTGTCTTGGATAATGTGGGCCTATGGAGTCAAACTATGTAAAGAAGCTGTAACAGAAAACTCCATAAAGTCTCCTGAGTTACGAAAGAGGGTGCAACGTCTGAGCAATAAAATGGTATACTCATATGAGAGGGCCGGGCTGTACTGGGACGCATGTGTTTACAGTAACACCTCTGAGCGTCTCTGCTGTCCTGCACTGAACTGCTTCATGACATTGGATGGCTGCAGGAAATTATGGTAATTTGGGACCTGGAAAAACCAACAGCCACGCCACAGGACTGGGATCACGACATACCTGCTTTACAAAACACGCATGCCACAGTTAAAAAAAGCTTCTAGGCATTAGGGCAGACATACTGCCCTAGTGAGGCCCAGTGCACTCAACAACCATCTAACCCATAAACCTTCAGTTCATTATGAAGGTGCTAATTTGGCTCATAGTGAAACTTTTTTTACTTAGTTCTGCACATATCTGCAGTTCAGCCATCATCCTGACATTATGTTCTTAAGCTATACTTTCACAAGCTACACTTTCTTTGCTCTCCCAATTTGAACAGTTGCCTCTAAGGTGGTGCCTATATGTTGTCAGACGTGTTACCAGCCACTACAAATTTGCA